ACAAACATGCCATTGATTGTGGGAATTGGTAATTTTTTTCTAGAAGGCAATCCAGAAATGTGTTGCCCGAATGTTTACATAGTATATTTGATGGAGTAATTTCACTTCTGGCAATTTAAATGAAGAAAAGGATATAGATGCACAAAGATACTCATTTCAGCATTGCTTACAATAGCAAAAAAAGTTGTAAACCACTTAAAGGAGTAAATATATTTTGGTTCAGTACTCAGTGAAATACTTTATAAACATAAAGATATTAAGGTATTAGGTAGAATATTTATTGATGTTGAAAGGTAGTTTCCATAGCACATTATTTCCACATTATATTATTTCTCCAGTGCGTTGTTTCTATATCATTTTATTCCCACAGCATAGCACTTTCACAGCACAGTGTTGGAGGAGAAAGAGCAAGTAACAAGTGTGATTCTAGTTTACAAATCATTATACACAGAATGACTCCATTTCTGTGAAAGCAGATGATCTGTAAAAATCAGTAGAAAAGAAAATAAGCCTAAAAATACATATGAAAATTACCAGTGGTTATCTTTGGGTAATATTCCATATTAAATTTTTTTTTTCATTTTTACCAGTATTTCCTAACCATTCTATAATGAAGAGCTCTTAAATGATAAAGGGCTGGACCAGATGATTTGTAAAGTTCCTGTCGACTGACGTTTTAGGCATCTGTGATTGATGCCCCAAGTGACTTCAGACAATTCATGTTTAGTTGGGTCAACTGTGTGGCTTTTGGAGCCCAAGCCTCTGCTCATAGCTGCAGTCTTCTGCATTCCTTGCCCGCCCTCCCTCTCCCTGACCCCCATCACTGCTCAACTGTCTTGCCTCTCAGCCTGGAAGCTTCTGCTGGGTAAGGCCCAGGTGGGCCTTTGTCTGTGATCTGTATGCTTAATCAAGAGCTGAGCAAAGGAACAAGGCTCAGCATGGTGCCAGATGCCATGCGGGCACAAAGAGATAAAAGGCACAATGCTAGCCCTAGAATCTTACTGGGACCCAGGACTCACACTTAGCGCCTGGTTGTAGAACACTATAGGGTCCAGCCCTATAAGGTTCTGTGAGGCCCTCCCAGCTGGTGTGGATACAAGAAACTGTAGAAATAGAAGGCACAGACACAGAGATAGAGAAAGAGAGTTTGGGCTTGGGGGTCCACTGCCAACCAAAGCATGGAGACCTGCAGTGGCACCGAGTGCCTGGACACTCTGACTTTTATTGAGTGCAAATCAGTGGGCAGGGAAGGTAGGATGAGGTAATGGTGGTCAGTGATAGGGTCAGGTAAATCACCTGTCTTGAAGATAGGAGGCCCAGGACTTTCAAGTAGCTGAGGCAAGGAGAAAACCTAATGCGTGAGCGCTCTTCCCATATTTGTTAGAAATGTCAAGGACCTTAATTCTTCTGAGAAAAAGAGAAACCAGGTGCAGAAGCAGAGTGTGAGAATGGACATGGAATGTGACCACTGAAGCACAGCATCACACAGAGATAGTTAAACCTCTGGATGTCTGCGGGCTTTCCTGACAGCCATCGGGCCTTGCCACAAGAGCTTGGAGAAGCAGTTTTCTCCTAACGTCCTCAGGAAGGAGATGTCTTGGTCATTTTGGACATCTCCTTCCCTAGCTGGCTAAACAGTGGGCGCTTTCACAGCACTGGCACTGCCGCACAGCCAAGGCACTCTCCAGCAGCCCTTATGCGGGCGTGACAGAGGGCTTAGAGCATCTTGCCTTAGGATCACTTTGTTTACAATGTCACCTCAGTTACATGTTTCATAACCCAACAGCCATTAGTAAAATTAAAGATTATATTGAGTATATATCTTTATGATTATAAGTAACTATAAGATTATATATGATTATAAAAAGGAATAACTATATACCTACATTTCTAATTCTTTTCTAAATCAATATTTATATGGGAACAGGCTGAGGCTTCAGACCCTTGCCACGGCACTAGTGTGGTTCCCCCCTACAGAACACCAGCTAAGAAATGCAGAGGAGAGAGAAAGCAGCACAGGCTGGGCTGGGAAGACAGAATGGGTGGGGAGGGCACCCCAAGAGGAGGCACAGCTCAGCAAAGGTGAAAGCCCCCCAGAGTCCTTCAGGATACATGCCTCAAACCTTTTCAAGGAGCTTTCACAATCCTTGCTCTACAAAATTTTTGTTCTTTGGCCCAAATGGGTAAAAATTAAGTCTCCTAAACAGAAGTCTTCCCTCTAATCTAACCCTAGATGATGGACCAAAGGCAATAAAAATCTTTGCACAAAGACAATGAATTACTGTTTTGCCCGCTTTCCTTACTCCTCCCAAAGTGAGTGAGAAAGATGGGGAAGGCCAGGAAGGGGCCGGGGGAGGGGAGGAGGCTAGAGGGACAGTCAGACATGACACATGCAAATAACACTTACTGCCCACCCTCCACATGCACTGGATTCTCCTGCGGTCACCACCAGCTCCATTTGATGGAGGAAATGAGACTTGGAGAGTTAAAATGGCTTGCTCCAGAGTCACCCAGCCAGAGAGTGAGCAAGGCAACTCCATGCAGCAGGACCTTTCAAAATTAGACTCCTTCCTGCCTTTTTTCTCCTCAAAACTCAGTACTCTTCCCTACGGCCCTATACCCAGCCAAACTATTCCTGCATACTCTTCCTTCTTTCCATCATGTCTCTACTCATGTGATTGTTCCTGCCTAGACAGCCTTCCCCATGACTTTTTGTTGAAATTCTTCTCATTCTTCAGCATGCGGTAAATACCTCCTCCTTTACCAAATCTTTCTAGATTGCACTTTCCAGTGGCATACTTATACCTATTTCCTTTGGCACTTCTTTTTCAGCACTTTGTGGCTATCATTTGCTTTAAAGAAAAACACTACACAGTAAGCTCCTTTTGTGTTTGGCTTCTAAAATTTTGTATGTGCTAGAACATGCTAAAAAATGTTGGTTAATTAGAAACAAATCATATTGCTCTGATAATAGTGGTAATAAAAGCTAACTGTTATTGAATGCTTACAGGGTGTTGAGTCCTGTGCTAAACAGTTTTTATTGATTGTCTCATTTAATCTCAACAACACTGTGAAAAACACACCATTAATATCTCCATTTTACTGATAAGAAAACTAAGATCCTAGAAGGTAAATAACTCACTCAGGGTTGCACAGTTATTTAGCAGCAGAGCCAGGATTTCAATGTAGAACCATCTGGCTGTCAAGCCTATGTTCTTTGTCATTTTACTATAATTTCTTTTCTCTGAATTTGCACTTTCTGGTGCCAACCATAGATGGGATTTGATCTCATGATCTTTGGACACTTTATCAGTTGCCTTGGCCAAAGTTTCAAAGTTAGAAAACAAGAAGTTTTACCTTTTCCAGCTGGGACCACTGATCCAGCACATCCTTTGCAAAATTAAAGTTCTGGGAAACTGCTTGGCCTAGGGACCTGAGGTCAGGAGGCCTGATGGTCTGAGCAGGAAATTTTTGGTTTGGATAGCAGCAGGCTCCAAATCCAAGTCTGAAACACTGGGCCAAGGAGAAGAGTTGAAATCGCCCTAGCATTTGGGTCAGACAGGGAACCACCTAGGTAAACTGGGGGAAAAGACAGGGAGTAGTTGAGTAGCTCAGAGAGGTAATTAATCACTGAGGTTACAGTACTGAGAATGAATTCATAAGGCAAACAATTTCCTTATGAGTACAAGCAATAGTCAGACCATTGGAGATGAAACCCATGAGCACAGATACTTACCAATTCCAAGAGGAGTTTCTTTGGGGGGGGCTTCAGATGTTGGGAGGATGGTAGAGCTGTTGCCTTCTGTCTCCTATGAGAACTGCTTACCTCTTAAAATTTAGTTGCCAGCTCTGGGGAAGGAGGCATTTCCTTGGTCCTAGAACAAACTAAGTCCTGGCTCACTTTCATTGGCTCTCAAGCCTAACAGGCAATCTCTTTTTGCTTCTGGGAGATAAAATCTATGGGCTGTGAGCTAAGTTGAAGCAATAGGTGTGCGTTCCTTTCTAATACGATGTCAGGAGAAACAGGTCACAGACTATTTTGCCAAGTGTGATGAAAAGAAGATGATGGACACAGAGTTTAAATAAGATTTTGTTGCTTACAAAATCCTGCACTGCAGAAAGGGAAGAGGGGATTGCTCATTAGCCAGATGAGGTAACCACATCTCTTTAACCCACGGAGACAAGAAGATGACAAACATTTTTTTTTTTTTAAACTGGCCCTGTGGGATTGCCTCTCAAGGTAGTATAGGTGAAAGTTTTGTAACAATCAAGTAGGGAGCCAGACCTCATGATCCTCAGCAGAGGAGGAGAGGGTCCACCTTGGAGTCTAAAGTTTGCAAAACTAAAATTTGAAAGGGGGTGTTTATAATATACATTTAAAAGGGGTCACAATATTTGTCTAATAAAATATTGAAGATTTATTTTACTATTTTAATTTTATAACTATGTGAAGTATAACTTTGTTACTGGGGGTTGATATTCTTCATCACAATTCACATCCATGTTTCCAGTTACCAGAGGGAGTAAAATAATGTCAGATTTGGATAATGGGTTGACTTACTCACATTCTAGAAACCTGAGATTTAATGGTTTCAATTTGATGATACTAACCATTGTAACTATATCTAATATTAGAACTAAAATATTTTCTTTTTTAATTCTTCAGCTAAGACAGCGGAAGAGGTGATTTATTTTATGGTTGTTACACTCAGCCACAAGTAAACACAGAAATAGTCCAGAATGTCAATGTCACAGGTCCAGGGCAAAGGACCAACATGGGCAGTTTTGGTTATGAGCAAGGTGGGTCTCAGAGGTGATCGGCGATCAGATGGCGATGAAGTTCTAGATCCATTGAGACAAGCTCTAGACAGTAGCATGCAGTCCCACAACTTGTACCAGCATCCCCAGCGTCGGACATTCCATGTTTCAGCTCCTGTGGCCTCCATGGTGCAACAAGCTAGTGGTTTACTTGGACCTCTGCCTCATCTTTCTTCTTTTGTGCTTCAGCCTGCGCATTCGTTTCTTCCTCCACTTGGCTCTCATGGCGCAGAGGTTTCCAAAAAAAATGGCGCTAAGGCCGAGAGAATAACTAAAATATTCTAATAGGTTATCTAGTCCAAGTCCTGCCTAAAACATCATGCTGCCTTTAAGATGAATAAGCTCCTTATTGTGGTGCATTGGTTAAAGTTTTGGTTGCTTCAACAAAGACACAAAATACTAAATTTGTCTCTTCAATTGACAGTCTGAGTATATGCAGTGAAAAGCTGTTTGTATTAGGGTTCTCCAGAAAAACAACCAATAGGAAATAGAGATATAAAGATGAATATAGATACAGATAGGTGAGAGGGGACTTACTAGAGGAATTAGCTCATATGATTATGGAGGCTTAGAAGTCCCATGATATAAGCTGGAGAACCAGAGAAGTTGGTACTGTGTGGCTCAGTCCAAGTTTGAAAGCTGTAGAACCAGGGAAGCCAATGGCATAACTCAATTTGAGACTGAATGCCTGAGAACCTGAAGTTCTGATGTCCAAGGGCAGGTGAATAAGGGTGTTCCAGTTCCAGGAGGGAGAGATGTAGACACACACACACACACACACACACACACACACACACACACACACGGAGAGAGAGGGAGAGAAAGGGCATTTTCCCTTTCTCAGCCTTTTCATTGCATCTAGACCCTCAGCCAATTAGATGGTGCCCACCACATTGAGGGTGGATCTTTCCCATTCAGTCCACCAACTCACACGCCAATATCCTCCAGAAGCACACTCACAGGCACATCAAGAAATGAATGCTTTACCAACTGTCTAGGTATCGCTGAATCCAGTCAAATTGACACCTAAAATTAACCATCACACTGGTTTAGTATCTCCACATTTCAGGGACCTAGGTTCTTTCTGTAAAGTTGCCCCACCATCTTTAGGGCATTTCTGAAACAACTTGACATCATATCCCAGTGGGACGGGAGAGTGGTGAGGGGAAGAACATTCCTCTCGCCTAAGTGAATAGCTAGAAATTTTTACACATTACTTCTGCTCATATTCCATTGGCACAAACTTAAGTTATGTGGCTTCAGAAAGAGTCTAGAAACTATGATCTTTATTCTAAGTGCTTATATGCTCAGCTAAGAACTGGAGATTCCATTTGTGCTAATGAGATGTGGGCATGAATATTGAGAAACAACTAGCATTTTCCATCACAGTCTACCCATCAACTATCCATGAACACACATAGAATATTTTTCCCATGCATAGAATATTCTCCAAGAAGCATAACCTTAAAGTCTCATAGAATTGCTACATCTAACTCAAAATTTAAGTTTGAGGGTATTGCTCAGTTCTCTTCAACTAATAGGGATGGGGTCCCTGCCATCAGGCACACTAGAAACTAAAATGTAAGTCACTCTCCAAACAACCCACTCTATAGGTCTGAAGTGGGAACCATAAAATTGCATGGAAACCTCCACGACTGAAAAGAGAAAAACTAGCAGTACCCAGCTGACTTGGGCCCAGCAATACCCACTTGTCAAATCCTGCTGTCCAGGAATGGTGAAAGCATCCACCCTGGCAGTGTTTGGGTTCTCAACTCATCTGGCAGGCACTAATTCTGCTTTCTGGGAGGCAGTCCCACCTTTGCTGTCATCTCTACCTTTGGCTTGCTTTCTGGAAAGCCGTTTCTTGTTTGTGATCCTCTTTGCCTGTATCTGAAGTGGCACTGGTGAATATGCCTTTCTTGAGGACAGCATGGCTTTTGTAGCCCACCTCATGCTGGTGCAGAATTGGTGGCTCAAGAGTTCTATTATGGGTCAAACTAGTCTATGCATCAGAAAGGCTAGGCTTATGAGTATTTTTTTTTTTTTTTTGTCATACAGTTCCATCAAGCACTTGGCTTCTGGTCTGCTTTCCTCAGATAAATTCTATGTATAAATAGACATAACCAAATATGTTGTCAAAGTATAGCTTTCAGGCCTGGAAAGTATGATCTTCTATATACTGGCTTCTGGGCTTCACCAATTCTTCCTACTAACTTATTGGTAGTTAATTTGAGACAATTCAAAGTTATGGGTTTGGGAAAAATAGGAATACATGTAATCAGTATTCCTTTGGGTTTGCTGTGTGGAGAAGGTGACTGAGAAAGCCTGGGTACACTGTCTGCTAAAGTTATCTCTATTTCTTTTACACGTTTTATGGTTTTCAGTTTACAAGTCTTTCAGCTCTGTGGTTCAGTTCATTTCTAAACATTTTAATTTATTTTTCATGCTCTTGTAAGCAGAATGGTTTTCTTGATTTCTTTTTCAAATAGTATGTAGTGTATAGAAACGCCACTGATTTTTGTGTGTTTTATCTCCTGCAATGTTACCGAATTGGTTTGTTAGTTCTAATAGATTTTTGGTGAAGTCTTTAGGTTTTCTCTGTATAAGATCATGTTTTCTGCAAACATTGGCAATCTAACTTCTTTTATTTTGGTACAGATGTCTTGTATTTCTTTTTCTTGCCTAATTGCTCTGGTTAAAACTTCCAGTGCTATTTTGATAGAAGTGGTGAGAGTGGGCATTCTTGTCTTGTTCCTGATCTTAGAGGAGAAGCTAAAAGCTTTTCACTGTTGAGCATGATGTTAGCTGTAGGTTTGTATATATGGTTTTTATTATTTTGAGGTACATATATGTACCTTCTATATGTAATTTGTTGAGTGTTTAATGTGAAGGATGTTTGTCAGTGCATTTTCTACATCTGTTGAGATGATCATATGGTTTTTGTTCTTCATTTTTCTAATATGGGGTATCATATTTATGTAAAATTTTATCGAAGGCAAAAGAATTCCATATCGACAGAGAACAGATAATTAGTTGCCTAGGACAGGGGAGAGGCAGTTGGATTGCAAAGAGGAACAAAGGGTATATTTTGAGGGTTATAAAAATATTCCATATCTTGATTATGGTGATGGTTATTATTGATATAATTTAAAAATCAGTAAACTATTTTCATTTTCAAAAGTGATAAGAAATCAGAAAAATGTAATAACCAAGTCCAAAGATAAACTCTATACCAAAAATGCATTCAAATGAATAAAAATCAGAGATTTAGGGCATTATATAATCTGCATTTTAAAAGAAAATATTTTCTTAGCACAATACTACGTAATCAATCTAGAAATTTTGGAAATAGAGATGTATAGGGAAAAAGAAAGGAAAATTATCTTGGTCCCTGTGGATAGGTGTTTACAGTATTTTTGTGGTATTTTTATGTAGCAGTTTTTCACTCAATGGGCAGAGCATATGTACTTTTAATTATACTGTATAGAAACTCCTGATTTCTGTTTTCTTTTATCTTATATTAGCTCAAGGTTAGTGTCTCTATCCTAAAATGTCTTCAAAACATGCGAATTTTAAGAACTGCCTAATAGTTCACCTTAAGGATGTAAAATAATTTAACAATTCCCTTTCTATGTATAATTTATATTATTGTTATATTTTCACTATAATAAGTTCTTTGAATGCACAACTGGTTATTTTCCTAGGGTAGATTACTAGAGATGAAACTATACTGAAAAAAAGGATGTAAATATTTTAAAGCCTTCAAATACATATCTTATTATTCAGTTGCCTTTTAGGATGCCTGTGAGAATTCATGATACCGCTAACAGTATACAAAAGGGCCCACTAACTACTTAATATATACTATTTCTTTTTTTGGTAGAAAGGATTTCTTTCTTTCTAAATAGAAGGAATGTATACATTGAAGTTTTAAAATTGAGATTATACAGTTGTCTTATTCACTGAGGTCTTCACTAAAAGATTATTTTACAAGTTTTTTTTTGATTTCAAACATAAATTAGTGTTCATGTTAGTAATTTGGTGGGAAACAAAAAGAGGACCTAGGTTTTCTTTTGAACATTCATGAATTGTCTGGGATTAATCCTTTGGGAAATATCCCAATGTATATCCAGGCTGTATGAAAAAATGGTAACATTAAAAAAATACAAATAGCAATTAAAATTTTGTATTGAAGAAATAATATGGAAATATTATTTCTATATTATGTAGAAATACATTATAGATGTAACAAGAAACAACTGTTATTATAGTTGTACTGGGATTATTCCCTTAACCCATGCTTCTAATACCATTTTAGTTTTTGTTTAGCATTCATTTTCATTCTGAAACAGAGCACATAATGTCTGATTTTTAAGTATATAAAAGATTTCATACTAGAGGATTTTTGTGTATTATATGATTAAAACTCTAAAAATAGAAGCTTATTAGAAACATGATCCCAAATAACCACCATTAATAATTTACCTTCATGTTTCATAATATTGCACATAAACCAATTAATAGCAGCTATAAAACTATTATGAAAAAAAGAGACAAAATTTCTGGAACATATCATCATCACAAGAAAGACAAACATACCATTTTACAAAGACTAGATTTTACAAGTATTTTGGGAGAAAGTAAACTCATAATGTAACCTGTACTGATCCACATACCAAGCATTAGTTTCATGCATGTAACACCTCTCCAATTTTAGTATATGTTCTACTGAGGCAAGCACTTATGCATATAAAATCTCTGTAAAACTCTGACCTCTTATAACACTTACTGTTACCACTCATTGCTGAGGCACATAAAGTGTGTGCTTTTGGGGAAAATATACTGTCTTTGAGCAGCCACTTTCTGAATGGGAGCAGTAGATCTGAGCACAATGATTAAAGACAGGGATCAAATGGACAAGAAGGACAAATGCCATTTTCTCATGACTTGGGAAAGCATCCCCAGTTATGGTCACTTTGGTTCTATCTGGCAAATATCTAGACACAGAAACCCATAGTGGACTCTTCTACCTAGGTTAGATTCAACAGGGCCACAAAAGCTGCAGTTCTTATGGGGATTGTCTGAACTCTGAGAAACTGAAAAAAGTACTGTAGAATGAAAACTAAGATACAGAAACAATTACTTTGAAAGCTAAGAAGAGAGAATTTAAATTTTCCTAAGGTGGGGCGCAGATCCAAGATGGCCGTTTAGGAACAGCTTGGGATTGCAGCTCCCAGTGAAAGCACTTGAGTGGACGCCGCATTTCCAGATGGATTTTTATTGCCCACAGATGAGGAGATTCCCAGGCGGAGGAGCCCCATGGGTTGCCAGCGCGACTGTTTTGGCCGGCGCGGCCGTTTCAGTCCCGCGGCTGTTTTGGCCCACCGGCTGCTTTGCGGCACCCCAGCACGCAGTTCTCCGTACAAAATACAGTGGTCTGGGTGCCCTTTTGGCTGGTGATTGGAGCCCTAGGAAGGCACAGTCGCCCATTCATCTGACTAAAGAGGGGTCTGAGGCAGGGAGCCAGGCAAAGAGATTCCCGGGCAAAAACAAACAAACAAAAGGCCCCATGAATCTCAGCATTGCTGCTTCAGCCGGTGCAGGGAGTCGCCACAGGGGAAGTCACATAGACCCTGGTGCCTTTTCAACAGGTGACTGAAACACCTGGGAGAGAGTCGACCATTCAACTGGGGAGCAAAAGGCTCTGAGGCAGGGAGCCAGGTGATCAGGCTCTGCTGGTCCCACCCCCACAGAAGAACAGCAATCGGAAACTCTTTGGATTGAGAGTTTCACAGCAAGCACAGCTGAACCCGGGACGGTCCAGCTCTGTGGGGGAGGGGCGTCCACCATTGCCGAGGCAGCCCGCTGATGCCAAGGCAACCTACCAATACAGTGAGAGTCTGCCATTACAGAGGCGGGCCACCAATGCTGAGACAGTTTTAACTACAACCATATAAACAGAACTGCAGGGAAGTTCACACGACAGCTGGGCGGAGCCCACGGCAGCTCGGCAAAGCCTCTGCAGGCAGACAGTGACTAGGCTGCCTCATTGCTGTGCAGGGCAGCCCTGAAAAAAAGGCAGCAGCGCAACGGAAACTCATAAATAAAGCCCTAACTCCCTGGGACAGAGCACCTGGGAACAAAAAGCGGTTTATGAGTTCTGCTGCAGCAGACCTAAACGTACATGCCCAGCAACCTGAATGAAAAACAGAGCTCACAACTCAGCACTTGAGCTCATGTAAAGGACAGACTGTCTCCTCCAGCAGCTCCCTGACCCCCGTATATCCAAAGAGTCACCTCATAAAGGAGAGATCAGACTGACATTTAGCGGGTATCCTTCTGGGACAAAGATAGCAGAAAAAGAAACTAGTAGCAACCGTTACTGTTCTGCAGCTGCTGCAGGAGATCCCCAGGCAAGCAGGGCCTGGAGTGGACCTCAGCAGCCCTACAGCAGAAGGGTCAGACTGTTAGAAGGAAAACTAAGAAACAGAAAGAAATAACTTCATTATCAACAAATTGGATGTCCACTCAGAGACCCAATCTGAAAGTCAGCAACTACAAAGATGACAGGTGGATAAATCCACAAAGATGGGAAGAAACCAGCAAAAAAGGATGAAAACACCTGAAACCAGAATATCTCTCCTCCTACAAGGGTTCACCACTCCTCACCAGCAAGGGAACAAGACTGGATGGAGGATGAGTGTGTTGAAATGACAGAATCAGACTTCAGAAAGTGGGTAATAAGGAACTTCCATGAGCTAAAAGAACATGTTCTAACCCAATGCAAAGAAACTAAGAAGCTTGAAAAAAGATTTGACGAAATGCTAACGAGAATGGACAAATTAGAGAGGAATATAAGTGAATTGATGGAGCTGAAAAACACAACACGAGAACTTCGTGAATCATGCACAAGTTTCAACAGCCGAATTGACCAAGCAGAAGAAGGGATATCAGAGGTCGAAGATCAACTCAATGAAATAAAATGAGAAGGCAAGATAAGAGAAAAAGGGGTAAAAAGGAATGAACAAAATCTCCAAGAAATGTGGGACTATGTGAAAAGACCTAATCTACGTTTGATAGGTGTACCTGAATGTGACGAAGAGAATGAATCCAAGCTGGAAAATACTCTCCAGGATATTATCCAGGAAAGCTTCCCCAACCTAGCAAGGCAGGCCAATATTCAAGTCCAGGAAATACAGAGAACCCCACAAAGATATTCCTCAAGAAGAGGAACCCCAAGGCACATAATCCTCAGATTCACCACGGTTGAAATGAAGGAGAAAATGCTAAGGACAGCCAGAGAGAAAGATCGGGTTACCCACAAAGAGAAGCCCATCAGACTCATAGCAGATCTCTTAGCAGAAACCCTACAAGCCAGAAGAGAGTGGGGCCAATATTCAACATCCTTAAAGAAAAGAACTTTCAACCCAGAATTACATATCCAGCCAAACTAAGCTTGATAAGTGAAGGAAAAATAAAATCCTTTGTGAACAAGCAAGTACTCAGAGATTTCATCACCACCAGGCCTGCTATACAGGAGCTCCTGAAAGAGGCTCTACACATAGAAAGGAACAACCAGTACCAGCCACTCCAAAAATAAACCAAATGGTAAAGAGCATCAACCCAATGAAGAATCTATATCAACTAATGGGCAAAACAGCCAGTTGGCATTAAAATGGCAGTATCAAATTCGCACATAACAATATTAACCCTAAATGTAAATGGACTAAATGCCCCAATCAAAAGACACAGACTGGCAAATTGGATAAAAAGCCAAAACCCATCAGTGTGCTGTATCCAGGAAACACATCTCACATGCAAGGATAATCAAAGGCTTAAAGTAAAGGGATGGAGGAAGATTTACCAAGCAAATGGAGAGCAAAAAAAAGCAGGAGTTGCAATTCTTGTCTCTGATAAAATAGGCTTTAAAGCAACAAAGATCAAAAGAGACAAAGAAGGACATTACATAATGGTAAAAGGATCAATGCAACAAGAAGAGCTAATGATCCTAAATATGTATGCACCCAATATAGGAGCACCCAGATACATAAGGCAAGTTCTTAATGACTTACAAAGAGACTTAGACTCCCACACAATAACAGTGGGAGACTTTAACACCCCATTGTCAATATTAGACAGATCAACCAGACAGAAAATTGACAAGGATATCCAGGACTTGAACCCAGACCTGGACCAAGCAAACCTAATAGACATTTACAGAACTCTCCACCCCAAATCCACAGAATATACATTCTTCTCAGCACCACATCACACCTACTCTAAAATTGACCATATAATTGGAAGGAAATCACTCCTCAGCAAATGCAAATGAACGGAAATCATAACAAACAGTCTCTCAGGCCACAGTGCAATCAAGTTAGAACTCAGAATACAGAAACTAACTCAGAACAGCACAGCCTCATGGAAACTGAACAACTTGTTCTTGAATGTTGACTGGATAAACAATGAAATGAAGACAGAAATAAAGATGTTCTTCTAAACCAACGAGAATGAAGACAAAATATACCAGAATCTCTGGGACACATTTAAAGCAGTCTCTAGAGGAAAATATATAGCAATGAGTGCCCACATGAGAAGAAAGGAGAGATCAAAAATTGACACCCTATCGTCAAAATTGAAAGAGCTAGAGGAGCAAGATAAAAAAACTCAAAAACTAGCAGAAGACAGGAAATAACTAAGATCAGAGCAGAACTGAAGGAGATAGAGACACAAAAAACCCTTCAAAAAATCAATAAATCCAGGAGCTGGTTTTTCGAAAAGATCAATAAGATAGGCCACTAGCCAGATTAATAGAAAAGACAGAATAACCAAATTGATGCAATAAAAAATGAAAAAGGGGATATCACCACAGATTCCACAGAAATTCAAACCACCATCAGAGATTATTACAAACAACTCTATGCAAATAAACTAGTAAACCTGGAAGAAATGGATAAATTCCTGGACACTTGCCTCCTCCCAAGCCTAAACCAGGAAGAAGTTGAAACCCTAAATAGACCAATAACAAGGTCTGAAGTTGAGCCAGCAATTAAGAGCCTACCACCCAAAAAAAGCACAGGTCCAGACGGGTTCACAGCCAAATTCTACCAGACATAGAAAGAGGAGCTTGTACCATTCCTTCTGAAACTATTCCAAATAATCCAAAAAGAGGAAATCCTTCCTAAATCATTTTATGAGACCAACATCATCATGATACCAAAACCCGGCAGAGACTCAACAAGAAAAGAAAACTTCAGGCCAATATCCATGATGAACATAGATGCAAAAATCTTCAGTAAAATACTGACAAGCCGATTACAAAAGCACATCAAAAAGCTTGTCCACCATGATCAAGTAGGCTTCATCCTACGGATGCAAGGCTGTTTCAACATACACAAGTCCATAAACTTAATTCACCACATAAACAGAACCAAAGACAAAAACCACATGATTATCTCAATTGATGCAGAGAAGGCCTTTGACAAAATTCAACAGCCTTTATGCTAAAAACCCTCAATAAACTAGGTATTGATGGAATGTATCTCAAAATAATAAAAGCTATTTATGTCAAACTAACAGCCAATATCATACTGAATGGGCAAAAACTGGAAGCATTCCCTCTGAAATCTGGCACTAGACAAGGATGCCCTCCCTCACCACTCCTATTCAGTATAGTACTGGAAGTTCTAGCCAGAGAAATCAGGCAAGAAAAAGAAATAAAAGTTATTCAAATAGGAAAGGAGGAAGTCAAATTGTCTCTATTTGCAGACGACATGATTGTATATCTAGAAGACCCCATCGTCTCAGCACAAAGTTTCCTGAAACTGATAAGCAACTTCAGCAAAGTCTCAGGATTCAAAATCAATGTGCAAAAATCACAAGCATTCCTATACACCAATAACAGACTTAAAGAGAGCCAAATCAAGAATTAACTGCCATTCACAATGGCTAGAAAGAGAATAAAATACCTAGGAATACAGCTACCAAGGAACGTAAAGGACCTCTTCAAGGAGAGCTACAAATCACTGCTCAACCAAATGAGAGAGGACACAAACAGATGGAGAAACATTTCATGTTCATGATTAGGAAGAATCAATATCATGAACATGATCATACTGCCCCAAGTAATTTACAGATTCAACGCTATCCCCATCAAGCTACCAATGACCTTCTTCACAGAACTGGAAAAAAACACCTTAAATTTCATATGGAACCAAAAGAGAGCCCACATAGCCAAGTCAATTCTAAGCAAAAAGAACAAAGTGGGAGGCAACACAGTACCAGACTTCAAACTATACTACAAGGCTACAGTAATCAAATAATCATGGTACTGGTACCAAAACAGGGATATAGACCAATGGAACAGAACAGAGTTCCTTGGAGGCAACACAACATATGTACAACCATCCGATCTTTGACAAACCTGACAAAAACGAGCAATGGGGAAAGGATTCCCTGTTCAATAAATGGTTTTGGGAAAACTGGCTAGCCAGGTGCAGAAAGCAGAAACTGGACCCCTTCCTGACACCTTACACTAAAATTAACTCCAGATGGATTAAAGACTTAAACGTAAGACCTAACACCATAAAAAACCTAGAAGAAAATCTAGACAAAACCATTCAGGACATAGGTGTAGGCAAGGACTTCATGACCAGAACACCAAAAGCATTGACAACAAAAGCCAAAATAGACAAATGGGACTTAATCAAACTCCACAGCTTCTGCACAGCAAAAGAAACAGTCCTTAGAGTGAATCGGCAACCAACAGAATGGGAAAAATTTTTGCAGTTTACCCATCTGACAAAGGGCTGATATCCAGAATTTACAAAGAACTAAATCAGATTTACAAGAAAAAAACAAGCTCATTCAAAAGTGGGCATAGGATATGAACAGACACTTTACAAAAGAAGACTTACATGAGGACAACAAACATATGAAAAAATGCTCATCATCACTGGTCATCAGAGAAATGCAAATCAAAACTACATTGAAATACAATCTCATGCCAGTTAGAATGGCGATCATTAAAAAATCTGTAGACAACAGATGCTGGAGAGGATGTGGAGAAATAGGAACACTCTTACACAGTTGGTGGGAGTGTAAATTAGTTCAACCATTGTGGAAGACAGTGTTGCCATTTCTTAAGGATCTAGAAATAGAAATTCCATTTGACCCAGCAATCC